CCCCCCCCCCTACCCCCGGCTTGCGCAGGTATCGAAGCGCTGCCTGTGGAGGAGCTTATCCCTTCGGTAGGCAGGTCGTACCGGGAGCTGAAAGATCAGTCGGTTGCTCAGGCAGGGCCCGGGAAGCCGAAGCGAGTTGGCCGCCTTCGTCCCGGGGTTTTGGGGCACACCTGGGAACCGGGTCCCTCCGGCTGGGGTGCTGGGCCGGGGTCTCGGGAGCCAGGCGGTGCAGATCAGGTTTCCAATGGCTCCCGGGAGCGCGTTGCTGGTGAGGTGTGCGGCCATTGTATCCCACTGCTGCCCCTCGCTTACTTTCTGGGCGCAAACTTCGGGTTTTTACAGCTTTTGCATCCAGCGTTCTGTCTCGATGCAATTCTGCTGAAAACCGAACCGGGCTGAGCCTCCGGCTTTGCCCTCTTTCCTGATGCTTAGTTTTTGGAAGTTAAGTACAATTCAGCAACCAAAGGTTAAAGGCAGTATTAATCACAAAGCTAGTATACCCTCCCTGAGTACATAATTACTATCTAGAGAGGTGTGTGCTCAAAGATTCTGAGGGTAGCTAGGAAACAAATGCTCTCAGGATTATAGTTCTGGTAATTTAGGACTGCTGCTTCTGGTTTTGATGTCTCATTATTTATAGACTGATCCCCAAGATTCAGTCTCACGTACGTTCTCTGGAGAATGTCCCGTATGCTTTCACGCAGTGCAGTGAGATGGGTAATGTGCTTTCTGTGAGCAAATGGAATGGCACTTGGTAGGATTGTCTGCAGCTGTGGGAGGGGAAGAGAGGGAAGGGAGCGGGCAAAAGCTATAAATGGATTTAAACAAATGCTGTAACTTGAAATTTACCCTAATTTTAAAGAGGACTAAAAACCACGTCTGGTACCTCCTACCCTTACGATTTCTTGCTGACTCCTGTAATTTGATGATTTATTCTGAAATCTGTTTTGAAATCTCTCTTCCTTTCCAACAAATGAGACATAGAAACTGGCAAGTTCATCGGTTCCATGAAATACACATGCAAAAATATCCTTCCCTGACACCTGAAGTTTTTGTTAACAAATGAGTAAAGGGGAAGACATCTGCTGGTTAAAAGCTAAGATCAGAAGTCTGTTTATGGACACTGGAATCAGTATCTTAATTTTCTAAAGTATTAACCACCCAGTGTGGCCATATATTAAACCAAACATTCTCTAATTTGATGAGAAACTTTGGAACTGTTGAACGCTCATCCCTGTAAGACGACGTGTGGGGTTTTGCCGTAAACGAGGTTAGCAGGGGCTGTTACCTCTGTCTTAGCTCAAAGCCTTCTGCTGCGTGCGCAGTCCTGCCCACCCGCTCTCGTGGCTTGGTTTTGTTGCCCGGTTGGTGTGCAAGCTGGAGCCACAGTTCCCAGCTGTGGTCTGTGCCACCTGGCCCGTGGGTTGCCGGCAGTGTTACAGAACTGGGAAGCTCCCCAGCCGTAACAGAGCGCTGCCGCCTGTGACAGCAGTGGGTGACGTGACAGGTTGCGCGGCAAGGAGCGTGTGCCGTGCTGTGGCCAGGGAGCGTGCTGCTTAATGGGTCCCCTTTAGGCGCCTGGTCCCTCTGTGCCTCCCTTCAGCGGCAACTGGGTGCTGCTCCGCAGCGTGCGAGGCAGGGTACCGGACACCCCCGGGTGCGTTTGCTGGAACCACAGGTTCAAACCCACATATGTTACCACGTGCCTTGCAGAGCCTCTTGATGCCCTCCGATCTCCCTGGATCTGTGCAGGCAGGCCTTTTAAGCTGTAGCCCTTCCTCATTCATTTGTGAATGAATGGGAATCAATAGATTTGGTGTAAGTTATGTATAATGGTAGCATGTTACATAGCTGCAGTGCTGATACCTGAACACATGCTCATTTTCAGTGTCTCAGACTTTTGGAAAAGGACCAGAAATTTGTATCTTCTTTTGTTTAAAACTTATTTTAATCAATACTTTAGATCTTGAAAAAGACAAAAAGGAAATGAATATTTAATTGGGAAATAATTTCACTTTTGATAAAAATAAATATATGGAAACTCAAGTTTTGGTCAGCTTCTGACGTGCATGTTATAGTAAAATGAGAAATGGATATTGAGGATTGATGTTGTTCTTTGCATTTTCAGTCATTTGTCTACATCTCCCATGTTTGGGATCCACCTTTTCAAGAACTATTTATTGATTTTTCTGAAAGTAATTACGTGAGGATTTATCTTTTGAAATATAACACAGCTCATTCAGCCTCTTTATGCATTAAAACCTAAAAGCATTTTTCTAATTTTAACCGAAAGGTTTTAACACTCGTACAGATTCTTGAGAAAACCATCTTGACTTTGAATTCTACTGCCTTATGGAATTACCTGCTCAGGGGAATGCTAGATGATACGCTAGCAAAAAAAGGCTTTAACTTAATAGTTTCCAACTGCAATTAAAAGGTGTCTACATTTATAAGATTCCTGAAAAGCCTGTAAATAATCCAGTTTGTTTTTATATTTAGATGACTTTAAGCCTGCATCTATTGATATGTCCTGTGAAGGAGACCTTAAAGTTGGCAAAGGTGAACAGGTGACAATAACACTGCCAAATATCGAGGTGAGTGGGGTGGCTGAAGAGTGGCGAGCCTAAGGGAATGATTTGTTTTGTTGTCATAAGTATATACTGAATATAGAAGGATATGAAGTTTCAGTGCTGTTTCAGAGCTGCTTGTGTGATTTTTACAGTAGGAAAACGATTGCTCTAAGAATGTAGAATTACAAAAGGCCTAAAGGTTAAACAGCTGCACTGTAACTTTAAGTGTGTTCACTGCATTGGAAATATGCTGTAGGATGACCCAGAAGTGTTGCGTACACAGAAAACCTTCATGTGGATGTTGGCAGTGCAAGTTTCCCCTTGGTATTTATTGCTCTAGTGCAGTTCTACAGCAGGAAAGACTGGAAAGGGAAAATTTACTACCTGCCATGCTTTACTGCTCTGCTGATATGGTAACTGAAACCCCTTTTGGTAAAAGGAGTCCTACAGTGAGCATGCTCTCATTGGGAAATAAGCGTTTAAACAGTTTCAAACTAAGCTAAGCTGGGTGAAATCCCGTTCCAGTCAAACACCAGCTGCTTTTGGTCCTGGCTACTGTGAATCTAATTTGAATTAACCGATAACATTTTTAAAGGCTAGAAATGATCACTTACAGTGAACTTGTCATCACTGTGATGGGTTGCTGTTTCTAAGAAAAGAAAGATTGCAGGAGTAATGCTTACTGAACTTCTGATTTAATAGGGCTCAACTCCACCAGTGACTGTGTTCAAGGGCTCAAAGAAGCCTTATCTAAAAGAATGTATCTTAATTATCAACCACGACACTGGAGAATGTCGCCTAGAGAAACTTAGTAGCAACATCACTGTGAAAAAAACCAGGTGGGTGATTTACAGGAGAAACAACTGTGCTTTACTCATTGCGAAAATCAATTTGTTAATGAGCCTAAATTGAGATACATAACTACCCGTTCCTATTTTTAGCAAAACATCATTTTTTGAAAGTACCTGGCCCTGTTTAATAGAGTGAAAAGCCTGCTTTCTCAGCACACTGACTTCACAGCTTTCGAGTCTTAACTGGCAGAAGAAATGGGAATTTTTTAAAATTTTATTTATTTATTTACTAAAAAATGTCACATTGTTGAAAGAGATGGTAGCTATTTTCTGATGAGTTGGGGGGGAGGTACTGTTTGGATAGTAGCTTGCGTACTCTATTCTGACTTCTAAATGAGGAAATAGATAAATTCTGTGACATATTTCAGTAATATTAATGGCTTGTTTTTCTCATACCAAGTTTTTGCGCTTTTTTCTTTTTTTTTTTCTGCTGCTGCTAAGTCTATATAAGTAATTTCCAGCAGAATTATTATTAAGTGATCCTGGGTAGCCAGGTATAAAAACAAATCAACTGACAGAGGGTTAAAAAGTTATTAGCACTGTATTAAAAAGCAATTTTTAATACAGCTATATATAATTATATGCCAGTATAATAACGTACCTAGAAATCTAATGATGCTGTTTAGAAAGGCATGACAAATAATTCCATAACTTAAGATACTGTATCCCCTGTATTCTTGCCTTTTTCCTTGCATTTTGTCTCCTAATAATTAAAAATCTTTTGCTTTTACACACAGAGCTGAAGGAAGCAGTAAAGTCCAGTCTCGCATAGAGCAGCAACAGCAGCAAATGCGAAATGCAACTAAGGTTCCAAACAATGTTAAAAATTCTCCACCAAAAGAAAAGATGTTTCCGTCTTCTCCTATGGATGATATTGAACGAGGTAAGCTCCACTGGCACGTAAGTTTCAGAAACTTTGCTCTTAACTAACAATTAGTTTTTAAGACCCAGGGTTTTTTCATTGTGTGGGGTTTGTTTTTTTGGTTTTTTTTTTAATTTGAGCTTCACACAAGCAGCTGATTATGTAAGTACTTTAACCTGATATGGAAATGAGCACTCTGGCTCAAGTGGTAACAAAGCAGTATTTTAAACTTGCTAAGGTAAAAAATAAGATGAACCATTAGGCTTAATAATACCAAGGGTCCTACTGCTTGCTCTCCTTGATTGTCTTCTGCTGCTACTTTAATCAAGTATATAGTTGGTTATATTGTGGCACTGGAACCAACTGAGTCACTTCCATTTGACATCACTCCTCATTCTTTCTCTGTATTCAGCAAACGTATAGGTTACAGTGCTTTACAGCTCAAAACACATTTTAAATTACCAGATAAGACCTTGTGAAAGATGAGGTTCCAGTGAAAAAGATGGCTAAAAACCTGCATAAATCAACCTTGAACAGTGCTATGTACTGTATTCTTGAGAGACTCTGGTTTGGTGCAACACTCATATTTCATGAGTATTTCCTTTTGGAGGACAAGGAAGATGGCAGGTGGTAATTACTTACTACAGAAGTGTTGACAGGTGGCAGTTTCATTGACTGGAATTGACATCTGCCTCCCAAGATGTTCTGAATTCCTTTAAACAGATTTTTTTTTTTTTTCGATGTGTCATTATGAAGGGTTTGGGTTTTTGGTTTTTTTTTTCCAGTTTCATCTTAAACTCTGACCAGAAATCTATACTACAGAACAGTACTAGAATATATCTAAGATTGCAAAGAGGAAGGAGTACTTGAGCACATGGAATAAGATGATGCTTTTTCTTGGTGGTCTGTTGTTTTGAGAGTAGTGGTGGTGTCAAACACATTGCAAGTCACCAAAGGGGCTGCTAGCATGTGTCAGACTCTTGAGTAGTGTCAGTCCAATTTTGAGTAGTACTAAAGATGTGGAATAATTGACAAACAGGGATATTGGGGACCTTTTGAAGTCGTCTAGTCCATCCTTCTGTCCTAAAGTCAGATTTCTGACATAATTTTTTAACCTGTTCTTAAAGCCTTCCAGTGACAGATCCTGTGTTCCCTCTGGCAACCCATTCCAGAGCTTTGCTCTCCTTACTGTTCAGGTTCTTCCTAATAAATAATCTGACAGTAAGCCCATTGCTACTTTAATATTTATCATGCAAGTATAGACCAGATTGCTGCTTTTGAGCAGTCCTTTTTGTACTTAGAAGCTGCTATGTCTTTCCCATTCTTTATGCAAAATGATGCCAGCTGGTTCAATATTTCCTTAGAAGTTAAGTTTTCTAGATCCCTGATTCATTGTCACTCTATCTATCTTACAATGAGGCCAAAAACTTTCTGAAGTATAGTGCTTAAATGCATTTACTGTTTCAGCTAAGGTTTTAGCAATGCTGAGTTGAGCAGGAAGACTGTCTTACAGACACTATTCATCTTTATAAACAAAAACCCAATAGTATCACATCCCAGTGTAATGCTTGTCATTTCTGCAACAGCATGGCGTGGTAGAACTGTGCGTAGTGACCCACTGTAACTCACAGACTCTTCAGAAGTGTTGCCTGCTTAATAGTTCTTCATCCCATGGTTGTGTAACTGACTATTCCTGCTTAAGTACGCTACCTTGAACTTGTTACTCACTTTTTCTTGGGTGGGGGAAAGATCATTCTACCTTTGTCCTCTATTATACATTGCAGCCCTTCCTACACTGTTTGAAAATACTTAATTTAAATTCTGTCAGATTAAATTATGTCAGAATTCAAGGCAGAGATCTTATTCCTCAGTTTTTGGTATTAACTTAGCCTTTCACTTAAGATTTTTCTCTTAGACATTGGTGAGAGCAGGGAGGAAGTGGAATTAAATGCATAGGACTTGGGTTGTATCTTTTAGTTAGCTTACAGCTCCAGATGTGTGGTAGATCAGTTGTTTCTTTGAACTTTCTTCTCTAGAATTAATTTTGAATGACTTCTTGATTGTTCTCCTAGCTGCACCCAAATTTTTGCCTTAGCTTTTTTGTTTTCTTTTCTGTCCTTAAGCTGTTCTCCTATCCATGCCCTTAGTAACAGAAGGATGCCTCCTCTTGCACCCCCCCCCCCCCCCC